CTATTTGCATCACAGTTGACCACTTAACATGACCCAAATGTAGATTGAAAGGACAGACTCAATTTGTGGCAGAACTTTTCAAACTTCAGACACACCCTTGACACAGCCCTCCAGAAACTTGGTTGTAAAAAATCTAGAAAACTAGCGCAAAATAACTGTATATTCGCACAACACTTTTTCCATGGATGAAATTATTGAATTAGATTAGGTGTGAGCTTGATGGAACAGGTTGAAAGATTACATATGCATCCCCAGTGAAAAGCTAGAGCTGCTTACCGGTAAGTAGAAAGTGACATGGAGAGTTTTACCAGCATGCATCATCCAGTAAATGTTTCATTACAGGGATCCTGTTTTCAGCATATGTGTATGTGGCGTAGTTATATTCCCCAAGATCTGCCTGTATGGCTATAATAAAGAACCTTTGTTGGTGCATTTGCTGACAGTTGACCAATCCTTCCTGTTTAGGTCAGCTGTTACACATGCTAGCAGAAGTTTGCACTGGACATTGTTTAGATTGAACCTTTTGGCTCCCCTTCGTAACTGTTTTTAGGGTTCTAGCAGGCAGCAGTCTTGTAGGTACCTACTCGCATATTTAGATTATCTTCAGAGCACCCTGGGATCTCTGAAATCCTGGGCATTCTAATAAGCAAATATCCTGATACTCTGGATGCTCTAATAAGTAGAGCTGCAGCTAACAATTTTTTTTCAAAATCGATTAGTTAGCCGATTTATTAAGTTCGATTAATCGAATAAAATTTTTAACATTAAAATACATTTTAAAAAATGGCTCCAGTGATGGGCTACTAGTTTGTATTGAGATTGCAGTCCATCACAGGAGCAAACTTGGAGCCGTGGAAGTAAAAAAGAAAAAAAAGTGTGGTGTGCAATATAGTGAAATGAAAAGTGTAAAATTATACAGCAATGAATGGCATCGGCTATAGAGGACTACAAAATCCAGCAATAGTACATTATACAGCACAATGCAGTATACCGCCAGCTATAGAGGAATACAACAAATCCTAGCAATAGTACATTATAGTTGGCGGTATTCTGCATTGCGCTTTATAATGTACTATTGCTGGGTTTTGTAGTCCTCTATAGCTGGTGGTATTCCGCATTGCGCTGTATAATGTATTATTCCTTGATTTGTAGTCCTCTATACAGCGCAATGCAGAATACCACCAGCTATATAGGAATACAACAAATCCCAGCAATATGTTATACATACAGTGTATAACGTATTGCTGGGATTTGTATTCCTCTGTGTAATATACAGCACAATGTACCATCAGCTATAGAGGAATACAAATACCAGCAATACATTATAGAGCACCATGTGTGGGGAAAGTGCAGGTTTACCTGAGCAGTCTTCCAGCAACTTGTTTCTGAGATCGGGCCTCATTTGGAACCAAATCCCTCTCTCCCTCTTTTCTCAGTTGCTTCTGGTCTGATATACAGATCTCTGTGAAAAGTTTCTATTTAAACACGAAAAGTGTTATTCTGCACTAAATCCTTTATATTATCTCTTATCTTGTTTGCCATTTTGAAAAACCAGAATAAAGGAAATGTAATGAGGAAAAAAAACAATTCTAGGTTTAACCAATCTTTGTTGGCATATACCGTCTTAATGGTTCACATAACCTGGGTGCGTAGAAAGGGTGTGTCCATTGTCTAAATACATTGTGCTGGAAGGTGTCCCTCTTTTTGGGAGGCTTTCTAGTGTTGGGAGAGGAGTGGACATTAGGTAGTACTAAACAAAAGTTAATGTTGGCTCTCCGTGCTTGGCACAACATTTCAACTTAAGTGCAGGTCTTGGAAATGAACCCTTCTGGCCATAAATTATATGGTTTGTTTGTATGTTGACAGACAACTTTCAATTATATAAGGTCACTGAGCCAGCCCATATGGTAATGCCAGTAAATGGTGCCTCTTACATCTTTTTAATTGCCAAGATGTTTTAAAGCTGAGCCAAAACCTATATTCCTCTGTCCTGAAATGCCTTTAGGTTTTCATGTTAAACACCCTATTTATATCACACACCACCACAAAAATGTCTTTCCCCTGTTATTATATTTTTCTGTGGCTTTCTGTCATTTTATTTTTATCACCCATCTGGTCATATTGGGTTATAGTTGTACACGTGTTTACCTAAACTAAATATTAAATATGCAATCAATAAACTCCGATATTTAGTAATGATGTAAAGCAAAAGTATAGTGTATTTTCACTGAGTGCATACTTTTAGTTATTAATACAGTGCTTACCTTTTGATACAACTGTCACATTTTTAACAGATTGCTCTCACATTTTTTGCTACTGCACTAAGGGCACTAAAGCGCATGTTAACACAATGCGTGGCAATGCACATTACCTGTTTGTAGGATGTGGTGGCATTCATTCTGTATATCACCCCAACACGCCATGCATTGCAACACAGCACAACAGGCAGCAATTGACTGTTGCGGTGCACTGCCAGAAAGGCTATATGCACCTGTTTTGGTTTGCTCTAGGGTGTTAGCTCTTCAAAACAAATGGGCACAATGCACATTAACACATGGAATAACACGTATTAACGCATGTGCAGTAACAAACTGCAATAGTATGAGTGGGCCCTAAATGTGGAGTTTGGAGCTTAGGAAAATCCAGTGGCTCAGCGCACTTACAGACTCATTTAAATGGGATCTATAATGTTTTCAGTTCACATTGCAAAGAGAAAATTGACTTTGCTTGGTGAACTGGGTGAATTTGTGCTGCCTCAACAATAATTAAGCAAAAATACAGGTTTTTGCTATTTTTAAATGTTTCTTGCACATTTGGTTATTCATTGAGTGAGTGAATTTTCACCTCATTTACTAGGATAAGTAAAGACATGAATATGCTCAACCCCAATGAATAACTAAAGAGGGAGCATTTGAATGAAAGTTAGAAATATATGCTGTCTGATATCGGATGAGGCTGCAATGATCACTTGTTTAGCTGTTTATAAAAATGTACTTTTCAGCTTAGGAAGAAGTAAAACAATGCTTTTCTTAAAAAAAAAAAAAAAAAAAGTGCTTTAACTGCTAGCTGGATTGAAGACTACATCTTTTTATCAATTATTGAGAGAATATATCAGCCACACGGAGTGTATTGTTTTCAATACCACCATTGTGGAGCATGGAAGGCTTTTGAGCTTCCACCCTGTATATTTGTTGCTATGACCGCAATAGAACATGAGTCTCTGAAAGAAGAAGGTTGCCAAACTTAGCTAGAAGATATGCTGTCCGCACACCATTCTGCTTCAAAATGTCATCTTTATTCATATAACTTTAGCATGACATCTGGTATATTCCTTTTTAGCATCAAAATGGAAAGGAATACAAATAAAAATGAGATTCCAAAGCAGAATGGTGTGCAGATAACATATGTTCTAGATAGCATACAGTGGTGGCGCCCTCAACCAGTTGTTCCAGCACCCATTGGATTCTGGGGTACATCGGCACAGTGTGCAAAGGGGATATTACTAAGACAGATGTCAAACTGCAAAATACCTTTAAGTGATTTAGGTTCTCAAAGCTTAACTCCAGGTGAACCATAGATTAAATGATATATGGGAGCTGTTTTATCTGCCAAAGGATTTGTACTTGTCAATCCATTTCTGGGATTTACACACCTCTGGCAGCACAGCATATCTTGATTTTTCTATGCTTACAGTTTTAGAAACATTCACAGGTCCATCCCCTACCCCCCAGCTTGGGAGTGGACAGTAAAAGATGCAGCAGACTGAGGAGCTCACCTCTGTTACTCTGCTCTCTCCTCATTAGTATGTCCTATGTTCACACATAAGCTCTGCAGTGTGGTCAGCAAGAAGTGGTCAGCAAATCGTGATGCCTTTCCCTCTAGAGGGGAGGGGACAGAAAAAAGGCTAAAACCAGGTCAAATTCAGGTACTGGCACTGATTGCGTAAAAGAAAATACTGATGTATTAAAGGAGAATTATGAGGTGAGTGCTTTTCACTCATCCTCATAGTTCTAGCCAACCTGTGACAATGAAACTGTCACAGGTCGGCTCAGTAGATCGGGAAGTGAGTGAACACATACCGGTGTTCGCTCACTTCTCGATCCTGTCACGGCAGAGAGCCTTGACAGGGCAGGGGCTGGATTCCCCCCTCCCCGCTCCGATCCTCCAGCGTTGACTGGCAGAAAGGACGGGGGAGGGGGATGGTACAGCTGGCTCTGCCTCTAGATAGGCAGAGCCAGCTGTCACCCCCGCAGCTGCGCAGATCCAGACATAATTATCGGGATCCGTTTCAGCTGCGGCGTCTCAGTATATCACGAGCTGTAGCTCGCGGTATACTGCGGCGTGTCAGTATACCGTGAGCTGTAGCTCACGGTATACTGAGCTTAGGGTGACTGGAGGACGCAAGTTTGTGTGATCCCGTTACCCTGGGGAAAAGCTCTAACCCCATAGTTCTCTAAGTGCAGAGCCGCATTTGTTTTGTCTTTTACATGTGCCTTTAGTTCAGCTTTGAACAGAATGTCGAAACTCTTTTCACTGGCATTCCCCTCTGTTGAATGGTTGGGCGGGTCTCTGAACCACCCATGGCCATCCATTTTACCACAATAGGCTAATGCTGCTTTCAGATAGGTGGCTCTTTTTGTCTGCGGTTATAAACGCATTACTTTTTAAAATGGCAAAGATTTTGTGTCAGCATGCATTTGGAAAGCAGTGGATATTCCTCTCTGACAATGGAAAATATAATTGAGCTTTTGGGAAATATGGCATATGACTGCATAGTAGTGTACTACTTTTTTTTTTTTTCTAGTTTTTGAAATTTCTGCCTGGTGTTTTTAATTACCCCTTTAAAATGTAGCCTCCTGCTTTCTGAAAATCACATTTTGCACAATTAAAGTTAAGCCATTTCCTTGCTTAATACTTTGGTAACAATGTGTGCTCATTATTGTTGAATTGTAGACTGTCTGAATATACCTAATTGTCAATTTTGGTCTGTTTCTGTTTAGGATAATGATATGCACCATGGAAATGAAGATATTTACAACTGACTTCAGGCTTTGGCACAAAAAGATGAAATGGCATTATTGCTTCTAGAATCTTCTATGGATGCTGTTAAACCCACGCAGGATTTAGTGGAACCTTCCAGACCCTGGGATGGAAAATTACAGCATTTACAATAGTAACTGCTCCATCGATGACTCCTTTAAATACAACCTCTATGGATCAGTTTATAGTGTGGTATTTATCTTGGGGTTAATCACAAACTGTGCTTCCCTTTGTGTCTTCTGCTTCAGAATGAAGATGCACAATGAAACTGCCATTTACATGACCAATCTTGCCGTGTCTGACCTACTGTTCGTATTCACCCTTCCTTTTAAAATATTTTATAACTTTAACCGCCACTGGCCCTTTGGAGACACTTTATGTAAGTTATCAGGCACGGCATTTTTGACCAACATTTACGGAAGCATGCTTTTCCTGACTTGTATCAGTGTGGATCGTTTTTTGGCGATTGTCTATCCATTCCGTTCTCGAACCATTAGAACACGAAGGAATTCTGCTATAGTATGTGCAGGAGTTTGGATCCTAGTGCTCAGTGGAGGCATCTCTGCTTCACTTTTTTCCACCACCAATAAGTCCACAACAAGCACCACTTGTTTTGAAGGCTTCTCCAAAAACATTTGGAAGACCTATTTGTCGAAGATTACCATGTTTATAGAAGTGGTTGGGTTTCTAATTCCATTACTGCTGAACCTGACCTGCTCCTCATTGGTTCTGAGGACGTTAAGAAAACCAGCAACCTTGTGCCAGATCGGAACCAACAAAGAAAAAGTTTTGAAGATGATTGTTGTCCATGTTGCCATTTTTGTTGTGTGTTTTGTCCCCTACAATTCCATCCTTTTTCTTTACGCTTTGGTTCGTTCACAGGCAATAGCAAATTGTTCTGTTGAGAGATTTGCAAGGACAATGTACCCCATAACTCTTTGCATTGCAACCACAAACTGTTGTTTTGACCCCTTTGTCTACTACTTCACTTCCAAATCCTTTCAAAAATCATTTAACATCAACCCTCTCATAAAAATGGATACCCTGTTCAAGATAGATCCTGTGGCAAAGATTCATTTTCCAGCAACGCAAGAGGATCTAACGGAACAAATAAACATTAACAATGGAGGCGATCTCATTCCAGAATCTAACTTTATGGACTAGAAATCTGTGTTCTAGTATAAAATACAAGTCTCTAGTGACTGGAACTATAATTTATAAAGGAGCCTTTGAGCTCCATGGTCAGTATTATAGATGGTATAAATGTGTATAAAGATAGAGTTTTAATTTAAATAGAAAATACCCTGTATACTGTAAAAAGAAAAGGCTACAAGTGTGGTTTGGTCACAAAAATGTTTTTGTGTGTAAATATTCAACAGAAAGTATTGTAGATGTACTGTATGTGTTCCCTTGACAGTGTTCTAGTGTTTATGGCATTTTGAATGTGAAAAAAATGATCATATACTACATTCTTTGTATTTTGATTTCTTTATATGGTTCCCTAAATTGTAAAGCACTGGTGAGAAAATGTTTTGTTTTAGGAGGGCTATGGATTGTGTTATGGCAAGTTTTTTCAGAGCAGAAGTATAAGCTGTAACCCTTCATAATCAATCCATCAGGAGCAATCGAAATCTCCACAGCGTACCCAAGGACACCATCAGTAGAGGAATTATTAAATTCCTTTATAGAAAAGTTAAGGTTAAGGGACATGGTTTTGTGTCTCAGGCCGCAGGCAAATTGTATGTGATCTCAAGTTGGGGCCATTAGTATTTTGCATCCATATGACCTAAAATGAAAAGTGTTTTACTTTAGTGATATTCCCACAGTTTTCTGTGCAATCCTAGTGTCAGAACTGCATAAACATCCAATGTGTGATCAGTACAGTCAGGTGCTGGAATACTATGGCAGAAGTACGGCAATTACACATCACAATCAGACTTACAAAACAGTTATTAGGAACATGAATTGACAATATAATTATGAAAAGATGGTTATATATCCACATAGATATCTAAAACAAGATAATTGGAACGCCAAGTACATCCCATGTTGAAGATTGCTATGAGACTAGGTAATTTTAAACTTTGAAATATGTAACAGTAAGGCTGACGTCACACGGGTGATCTTGTAATGATTCTTTATATATTTTCGGTGATATCATGCCAAGAAAATTAGTTATTTCAAATAAATTGTTAACTCATTAACATAATTTATTTTGCAATGTGTAGTTCAGTCACTCAACGATTTTGAGTTTTGGTAGTGTTTCATGCCAACAAGAAACTTGCCATCAACAATCACTCTCCATTTACCTTAAGGCTTGGCTACAAATCACTGAAGGAAAGGTAACGATGAAGCAAAATGATTCTTGGCAACAAATTGGTAGTGCCTTCAGCATTTACAAAGCTGCAAATCAACTTAAATCTCCGAAGTTAGCAAATGGTATCTGTGAGGAATCACTGCCACAAAATTCCCCTTGTGACATCAGCCTTAGGGATGGTGTGCATGTGAGATTGTACATAAATGGGCATTCATTGCACCCTTTGGCTCAGGCTAACACGGCAGGTTGTCTGTGGAATATAAGCTCTATCAATCATAATGATATTTACCCTTACAATGCACCCTTACTTTTAAGTAGGGCTAAACATAATTGGTTATGTTTCCATAGCTATGAATACCACGCAAAGGTCAGGATATAATTCAGTTACTGGCTTGCTCATGTTTCTATATAAATAATTCCCCCAGTAAATTGTGAATGTCAAAAGAATTAGCATGGCACCAGGGCACCACCCATTCATCTTATTGTCACTTGATGCTAAATTTATTGATGATCTTTTTCTCTGAAGCTTGAATAGGTCTGTCACACTTTGTTGGCTTCCTGCTGTGTCCTTGAGGATCTTCACAATGAAACTTCCTGTACTGCTGTGGAAATGGAAGTCTAGTGTGTACAAAATAGTGATTCCTTCATAAAACACAAGATGATGAATCTAGATTATTCTATTATGTGATCCTTGGCATATGGATTTTCCTTTGACAAGTCAATAAGCATGTGTTGCTCCATATACTTGCACACTGACAATGATTAAATCTGAATTTCGGACAGATGTTAAAAAAAATCTAGTTATATTTTAAAGGGGAACTCTGGGAATTTTAAAAAACTTGCGCTTCGTGAATTTGGCACTGGGTGCCCCTGTTGGCACACTTTCACCCCCCATCTCTTGATCAGAAGATGGAAGGCGCTGGTAGGAAAATCTTTGGCCCGAATGGTGCTAGCAGCCAATCGGCTTCAAGTGCCGTTCTTGTGTTCGGACAGTGGCTACAATAGACTCAGACTACAATAGAAACAGCGGGGATTCATCCATCCATGCTGTTTAGCATGGATGTAGGAATCAGTTCTATTTTTTTTTCATTCAGCCCACAGGTTGAATTTAAATGGAACAGTGTATGACCAGCTTTTACCATTGCAGTAGGGCTACCCCTGTAATACAAGGGTAAGTGCTGGTTATGTCTAGGAGGCTCAGATACATCAGATATACTTACCTGATCCTCGGTCCCACTGGGCTGCTAAACCAATTCCCGCAGCCTCTTCTCCCCTGGCTTCTGGCGGTCTAAGTCATCAAGTCTTTTGCAGGTCTATTGACTTGCATTTGACATGAGGACACCGATTGACATTCCACAGCCGGAGCAAAGGTGGAGAGAGGTGAGTGCTGGCCACTGAGGATCAAGTGAGTAGATCTGCTTTGTCGGAGCTCCCTAGACAAAAGTACTAAACTCTTGTAGTGCGAGGGTAGCCAGATTTCTTCTTTTAAAAAAAACAACTAGGAACAGCATTGGCATCAATATTTATATTGGCTTGTAATTCCATAAAGAGCAAGACTCGGAAGGTAGATTAATGGGCAGCAAAGTAAACCAATCAGACCGCAGTGCATTGCATGGGCTGTCAGTCTAACATTGAAAGCTTCCTGACAGGTGCAGAATGAACAGGGTGATGATTTCATATGTGGGGTTATGCTTCTTTATTGTCCAGTCAGGATGCTGGGGCGGTTCAAGGACCAAGCTTTATTGACTAACTGGCAGAGATGTTTAGATTACAAAACTAAGTAAACAGCGAGACCACATTTAATCTAGTTTTGGACAAAGTAAAGGGTTAGAAGCGCCGTCCGGTTTCTATTACTATCTGTAAGCTAGCTGAAGAGATTCACTTTCTCTATTCGTCCAGTTGGCCATTGTCACTGGAACTTAAAGCGAGTGGGGTAAACGGAATTCCGCTTTAATCCTGTTTACTGTACAAGGAGCAAAGTAACCTGCATCCTCCAGTCAGCTGCCAGGAAAAAACATCAGAGGTGTTGTTGCTGTGGACATCTCTTTTTGAGGCTGTATTTTTTTGCAGTAGTTTTTGTGGAATGTCATTTAATGCCGTAATTTTTGAGAACATAAGATACGTGCCATCTTCAACTGTTTCTTCATTATTTACATCTGGTAGTTTGGCTTTAAGAATGCCATACGTCATTAGTAGCCGGAGTGATATGTATGTTTTACTGATTTAGTTTAAACATCATACATTACCTTTTATGTCACTTGAAGCAGAGTTACATTCAAACACGCTCTGGAATGTAATCTCCTTAAACACCATTAGTGTGTGTTTATTTTGCTAGAAGATAGCGAAGAGGCTCAGCAGTATTTTAAACGGAATCATCTGGCCCCCTTTACAAGCTTCAGATGATATGCCCTAAACTGCTTTCTATAGGTGAATTAAGCACCTCAATCCTCCTGCAACTGGATAGGTTTCCGTTTTAATTCTGTTAATCTGTGTCCTGCAGGAGGCAAAGGTCTAGAGCAGCCATATAAAAAAGAGATTTCCAACAGCAAAGCTGTGACTGTCCTAAGATGCCAGGATTTTATAGTGGCCTATTCAGTAACAAGTCCACATGAAAACAAATTCTGACACATAGGAATTATGAGACTCATATTTGCTGAGCCCCCTTGCCATCCTAAACAATCAAATAACCGGCAGCTCCCCTGGGGTCTCTGGCAGGACAGGCAAGGGATCGGAAGTCACAAAAATGTGGGGAGAACCTGCAGTGGGGGTTGGAGAATACACAGTGGGGATCGGCGGTGTGCTGATGGAGGCACACAGTGGGGAGACGGTGGTAGCGGCAGGGGGAGGTCATACTTTTAATGAATGGCTATGATCAGCGGTTTCTTGCAGCTGCTCAGTATTCAGCAGAGTCAGGGGGACTATTCTAGTATAAGTTCATGGTCAAGTGACCATAAACTTATAGCAAGAGTAGGGATTCCAATACTGAGCTGTTCAGCTGCAAGTGTTTCTGTTCCACCATATGCCTTACATCGGTGGCAGAAAAGGGTTAAAGAAAAACTATAATGGTTTTAAGTCCATTTTAGTTTTCTTTTCTTTGTTTTTTTAGTTCCTAAACTGACTTTTTTTGTTTCTTTTTTGTACCGTGTGTGTTTTACAAATATTTAATGCATGGCAAAGCAATCCCACAGCATGATGGGGTTAGCTAAATGGACAGTAATAGTCAGTGTACCCATTGCACTCCTTACCGCTAAATCCTTGATGAATGGGTTGGGTGCATCAGTAGTCGACGGATGGCCACCATCCAGGCAAAGTATAAAGAGTTATGGACACCGGCACTCCAAAGTAGAAAAATGTCTTTTATTGACGCATCATGCAACAATACACTTATTGCAACGTTTCGGGGTCACACAGGATCCCCTTCATCAGGCAGAACAAGTGAGCTAAATGGACAGCAGACACCTTCTGCTTTCTGGCTAGTGACTGAAACTGCAGACTGGGTCATCTAAAAGGGAAGAGTCATTTTTTTCTGTGTTATACCTTCTTCTTTGCAGGAAGTGAAAAGTACATTGCATTTCTGGCAAGATCAATTTCTGGCAAGATCAATGGGTATGTTCTCTACTTGCTGAAAAAGATATAGGCATGAAAAATGAAATCTAATGCAGTTACCACATCTAAGAATTGGTAAGGTGCAATATATACATTTTTTTGCTTTTGGGATTAGATGCGCTTGATAAAACATGTGTGAATAAGTATAGTGAAACAAAAACATTTAGAAGATTTACAGTAGTGTTCCTGAAAAGTTCGAGTAAACTGCTGTTCTTAAAAAGCACATTGCTTCTCATCTCCGGCTTACTAAAGCTCCCCTGCATGTTGTGCAGCACATCTGTTCTATTCATAGATAAGGAAAAAAATGGAACTCGAGAGTACAGATGTTATTGTTTGGAAAAGGCACAATGCTGCATACCAACACCAAGACATCATCCTTGAGACAAGATGGAAAGAATATAATTTCAAGGGGCTGCTTCTCTGCCCCATGGGACCAGTGAATTTTTTAAGCAATGTCAGGAAATGTTACAGCAGAATGTCACGATATCTGGGATTTAATAATGAAAAGAAGTTGGCTCATGCAAAATGACAGTGATCC